CGCGGGCTGCGGCGCCGTTGCCCGTGCGGGCGTGGAGCGGGTCCCCGCGGTCCTGCGTGTCCCGGCCGGGGGCGCGGAAAGCGGGTCTCGGCTTTGGGTTAACGGGCGGGAGCGGGAGGCCTCCCAACGCTGACCGCGTGTTGTTTCCCTTTTCTTGCAGGCTCACCCCAGTCGTGGCTCTTCCTTCGGTTTCTCGGTGTTTAACTTAATGAATGCGATCATGGGAAGTGGGATACTTGGGTTATCCTATGCTATGGCCAACACAGGGATCATGGGCTTCAGGTAAGTTTGTAGTCTTGCCTTTAGCTGTTCTTAAGCTCAGCGTGTAGCTCCACATGGAGCCGACCTTGCTTTTCCTCAGACTGCTGCGTGAAGACGGAGGGAGAAACAAATAGCTTGTGTTTCTGGCATTTTGAGCTACTCATTCAAATCTGGCCTCATGCAAGTACTGCCCAGACATTGCCTTAAATTGCCACATGGTGGCAATTGACTGGCCATTACTCCTCATAGATAGCACTTCTGTAGCGTAGATATATCTGTGTCCTTCAGTTCTAGAAGTGCAGCTTTCTGGGACAGGATGGCCACATATTTGAAAAACGTGGATCAGCTTGCACTTTGGCCGGTTGTACATACTAACCTGTGGATAACAGGACCAAAGTATCCAGAACTGCCAGAACTAACCGTTTGCTAAGCATTAAGTTCACTTAAAAGGGATACGTATTTTTAAATATTTATACGTGTGTACGTACACATGCGTGCACACACACACACACAGAGCAACTCCTCCGTTTATGTCCATGAAGTTCATATATCAGGTCCTTGCCCCGTGTAGTACATGATACACTCTGCTGCAAATAACAGTAGAAGAAGTGCTGGAACTTAGCACGTGCTGGGAAGGTCAGGGACTGTATGAACCATGGTCAGCAGATATGAGCCTTAAAATGAGGAAATCCTGTGTTGTGATAAGTTATTTCTTGCAAAAGAATCATTCTTAAAGACAGAAGTGCAGTGTACTTTAAAAATGTCTTAAATTTTTTATTTTTAGTATCTTGTTGCTGATTGTTGCCAGCCTTGCTTCTTACTCTGTATTTCTTCTGCTCAGTATGTGCACTCAGACTGGTAAGTGAAAAGGATTTATCTTCACCTGTATCACAAAGACATGACCTAGTACAATTATTACAATTAACAGCACATTAACAAATTGTTGAATCTAATTCACTAATGTTGAAATATTTTAAGTTTTTCGTGATTGTTATTTGACATAAAAAATGTATTTTTGAAACTTCTTAGGAAAAATAAATGGCAAACTAACTAGTTCCTAGTTTTATTTTTCTCAAAGTGCCTCTCTCATCTTTTCAAAATGAAAGATCCTGTATTTCCGTAGCAAAAACTATTTTAGTGCTAGTTGGGCCCTACTGCTTTAGTGTGTGCTTATCTGCATAGGTAGTCTTACTGTTGCGTACAACAAAGGTTTAAGAGCAATAAAACAGCAGACTTGTATTCTGCTTATAATACATATTTGTTCAGTATGTGAAATGGATACCTTTCAGTTTTGGTCGTCATATTGATTTATTGTAATTCCGGTGACACTTTATAGATGTGTTTCCTTGCGGCGTTTTTGACATTGGATGAGAAGCCATATTGCAATCCTTAGATTGAAATTACGCTGCTTTGGGAATGTTCAAAGAATAGATTCTAAAATATGGAAACGAATTTGCTGTTAATGTTTTAATTCTTGCTTCTTTAAATTGTTAGCAAAAAAACTGGCTGGTTCCTTTTTCTAGGAACATAAAGATCATGCTATAGCAGGAAGTCTCAGTCTCTTTCAGTCACCTGATTATTGTTTCTGTCTCATCTCTTTTCCTCTCTTTTCAAAGGTGGTGGGAGAAAGCTTCTGTTTCTTTCCTTTTTGACTTTGTTGTCTGTAGCTATTGGTATGTCAGATGATTGCTTCCAGATTCTTCTCAGATCTGCTGCTCCTGTCTTCACCTGTTGAATGATCTTCTTCATACATTCTTAAAAAAAAATTCTTCAGAGGTAGGGTTACTTTTGTGTATGATATTGTTGGCTGCTTGATGATTTGGAACTAGTCTTTGGTAATCTTTTTTTCCTCTTGGAACTCTGCTTATTAGAAAGGAATCATGACCTGAAATAAATAGTTAGAGAAACGGAAGAAGCAAGAAATGAGGGGGAGCTTGAGATTTTTTTTTTTTTAAATGATATTTGAGCATCTCTCATCTGAGGCTTAAAAGTACTGTATCATATAGGGACTATGAGATATTTTGTTGTTTTCTGTTAAAATAATAATTAAACAACTCCTTGCGAAAGAACTAGCAGGGAGAGGGCAAAGGAGAGGGAGAACTATAAAGACAAGCTTTTTGAAGTAAGAAAATTTTCCATGTTATGGACTTTTAAGGGCCTAAGATATAAAAATGGTTCAACTCCTCAATTATTGTCCGGAGGTGACATTCCACATCAAGAAAGCATTTTTAAATGGACGCATTTAAAATCAAGGGATACCACTGAAATGACGGGGTGAAGTATTTCTCCTGTCTGAAACTAGCACTTCACAGTTAAAAATTAGTAATCGTCTAATGTTGACAGAATCATACTGGCACTAGGACTATGTCTAGATGTGTCTGCTGGAATTAAATTTATGGAATTCTGTGGCTTGGGTTTTTTTAATGATCTCTGTCAAATTATATTTACAATAATTCTTATGAACAAATATATATAACCATTATATAACAATTTCGTGTTAGATAACGTTCTAGGTTTTTCCTTGGGACGTTAAGTCTTAAAAAGTGAGAAATGACTTGTGCGTTTACAAGGTAAAATCTGTTTAATTGTTTGTGTAAAATGCCTTCCAGAGCAAATAAACATTTTTCTTCTTTATAAAACATGCATGCAATTGTGAACAGTGCTATGAGCTTAATCCACAGTAAGAAATTAGAAAGAAATTTTAGTTGTTTTTCTAAATTTATTCTTTAATATTAAAATTTAAAGGGTGAGGAAAAAACCTTTGCAAATGTTTGTAAATTTTTCATTCAGGTATTCAAATCATAAAAAGTAATCCTGAGAAAGAACTGACCTGTAAAATACACTTCTGAAAAATAAGCTTTAATAATAATTCTGTTTTAATTGGAGACCAGAGTTCAGTAAGCATGGACGTTTTCGTCGTAGTGCTTAAAAATTTTAAGTCTTTTCAGTTTTTTGATGATGTAGCTGTAGACTGACTTTAACAAAATCAAATGGTTTCTGTTGACCAAAAGGCTTAGCAAATGAATATTGCAATGTGTCAAGAGTTGTATTTGGATTAGTTCACGTAGTGTTTTTTCCCTGTGTTAACTCAGTACTGCGTACCTTGTTTTAGGGTTTAGGACTGACAAAAGCTACATTCATTCTGTAGAGTACAGGAACTGAGATTTTAAATGGGAAGTACTTCAAAGTTATGTGGCTTTTTTTTTTTTTTTTAATGAGTTAGTCTTCAATATTGCTAGTGCCATAGTTGTTGATTTTGCTCTGGATTTAAGTAGATAACTTCCATTCAACTTTAAGAACATCAGAGAAATCAAGCCAGTCTGGCAGAACACGTTTGTCTCTGTATCATCAGTGCTTAACGCTTTGCTCCACGCGTTCTTGAAAAGTACAAAAATAGATGTGGTTAAGTATTAAGGCCTCCTCAGTGTTCAAGGGACTGAACTGATTACAAAAGTAGCATTACTACAGAACGTATACCTCTAAGGTTTCTTACGGCTGTTTCGAGATTTTTTTTTTGAAAATTTTGTCGTTTTTATTGATAGTTCCTGATATGTGTTTGTTGTATGTTTGTTCCTGTGAAGCAGGAACAAGTGCTGTTAAAGCAGCACTTCCCTAAATGCGTTAAAACTTTGCTGATCTTTAACGTTATTGAGGATGGCCTTCTAAAACGGTCTTTCTCATGATCAATTGAAAAGAAGAATACACAGTAAAATCCAGTAAGACATGCTTATTTGCTTATTTGATTATATCTGTATATAACTTACATCAGCGTAACGGCAGATGTAAGGTTATTCCAACGTTTATGGTTATGTGGCTTTTTTTTTTTTTTTTAATGAGTTAGTCTTCAATATTGCTAGTGCCATAGTTGTTGATTTTGCTCTGGATTTAAGTAGATAACTTCCATTCAACTTTAAGAACATCAGAGAAATCAAGCCAGTCTGGCAGAACACGTTTGTCTCTGTATCATCAGTGCTTAACGCTTTGCTCCACGCGTTCTTGAAAAGTACAAAAATAGATGTGGTTAAGTATTAAGGCTTCCTCAGTGTTCAAGGGACTGAACTGATTACAAAAGTAGCATTACTACAGAACGTATACCTCTAAGGTTTCTTACGGCTGTTTCGAGATTTTTTTTTGAAAATTTTGTCGTTTTTATTGATAGTTCCTGATATGTGTTTGTTGTATGTTTGTTCCTGTGGGGTTAAAGCAGCACTTCCCTAAATGCGTTAAAACTTTGCTGATCTTTAACGTTATTGAGGATGGCCTTCTAAAACGGTCTTTCTCATGATCAATTGAAAAGAAGAATACACAGTAAAATCCAGTAAGACATGCTTATTTGCTTATTTGATTATATCTGTATATAACTTACATCAGCGTAACGGCAGATGTAAGGTTATTCCAACGTTTATGCTGAGAGCTGACTCTGGCCCGTTCATTTTGTCATTTCATTCATTTTGTCATGGCATATTGGTATCAGTAGTAGAGAGGAATGTGAAACGCTACCCTTGACAAAACTATATGAGAAGATTAATGAAGTTTTATTTTATTTCTCTGGCACGTTCATCTGATCGTGTGCAGAACTTCAGTGAAATAAAATGGCCTACGCTTGGGCGCTTGGCAGTCTGAGGCTCCAGTCCTGTCATCTGATCTATGCGAATTGGCTGTCTCCCCCATGTCTTGTTTCATTTACTTCAGTGGGACTTCACTCAGGTGTAAAGGTCTGCCCTGAACAGTTCAAATTACAGGGCTGGGCCTTAAATTAAGATGTGACGGGAGTAGAAACAGTAATGTACTAAGCAGCCGCAAAGACGGGAGAGCAAGTGTTACGACAATAAAATTATGTGGTTTTTGAGATTAATTTTACCCTCTGAGGAATTTATAGCTTTGGACCATTTTTAATATAGACTGAGAAAGGGAGTGCTATTTCTCAGAAACCTTTCATCTTTTTGATATCCCTTGAGCTTCTAATAACAAACTACAGAGCAACAATGCAAGACTTCAGTATGACTTCCTCCTTTCTGAGAAGGGATTGTTTTGAGTTACTAGTGGTATTAGAAGGGAGCTTCAGTTAAAGCTCAACAAAAGCATACAGGAAACCGTTGACTATTTTAATGTGATTATATAAGTCAGGTGCAGTTTTGTTTTGTTTTGGGATGTTTTATTTTTTTAGCAGATCTCAGCCAAGGAGGGTGCTTACTACTAATTTCCAGGAGAACTGAAGGTGTTGAGTTTTTAAAAACCTGGCAAGGTTATGATTGACGTTTATAGTCATGGAACGATGAAGAAGGGTTCTATATTGTCTTCTTCATTTTAAAAAAAAGTGTAACATTTTAGCAAATAAGATATGGAAATAGTTTACATTTAATTGGTGAGGCTAATTCCGGAATCATTCACTTATAGTACCATTTGAAAAAATCTCCAGGAGAAGGCAATTTTCCATCAAAGTTTTTATTTTGTTTCATTTCTTGTAATACTTCAATTTTTTAATATTATAATGATTTCAATTTCTGGAGAATCTGTGGATAATTGAGCATACGTAGCTCTGTTTTGTAACAGGAGTGCAGGTGTATATAAAAGCTGTCTCATAAATGTAAAATATTATAAAATACTTTTTGAATTCTCTCCTTAATTGTTTGCCCCTTAAGAAAAAAGGGCAAAACTAGAGATCTTAAGGGAGTGTGAAGCTTCAAATATTTTAACTTTTTTTTCTTATTAACAGCTGTTACTTCTTATGAAGACCTTGGCCTCTTTGCATTTGGACCACTTGGGAAGGTAAGCATTTTGTTTTTACCTGTTTTTCTTCTTGATCTTAGCTGTTTACCAGAAGTATAATATGTCTCTTTGTAGTAAAGGTATACAAACAGAATATTCTGTGTAATTAGCCAAGTTCTAATAAAGTAAAAAATCCGTCACTTCCTGAAAACAATTTTCTGCTGCTTTTCAGTGAGTGCATTTGGTCTGTAGAAGCCAAAACTTTAGTTAACCATGAAATAGACTTTGTTAAATGCAAGACTGCTTCACTGTCAGAGCGTGCGTTTCTTTAGCTGCGTTTAGAACCGTATGCTGATTGGTATTGTTGTCAAGTCAGCTCAGCAATCCGTTTCAGATTTGTTACAGTCCCATTGTGTCACTGCTGTAAACTGTTAAGAGACCCTTAAAAGTGATTCACTGTTGGTGTTTTAGCACTTAGTAGAGATCTAAGATAAGTATTTGCTTTTCGTCTAGTTTCTACAATATGAATAAATAAGATTACATTTAATGCATGTTGATTTTAATAAAAAAAAAAATTGGGTGAACATTGCATTTAAAAGAAATCATGAACTTTTTTGGTATAGGAGTAATCAACATACAAGCCATGACTTTTTAGAGTTGTGCACTGAATTTGTGTTTCCTGATATTGTAATACCAGGAACGTAGGAACTACTAGTAGTGATAATGTTACATATTTAATATTATGAGTAATGTGCTCTGTATTTCAGTTAAATGATTTTAAAAGCAGATTTTACCATGTAGAAGTGCAATTTTAATGGCTTACTGTTAATTTTTTTTCTTGAGTTCTGCTTAACGGACTAGAGTCTGATTCTTCTCCTCTAATGTAACTGAGAATTAAGTCTGAGTGATTAGGTGTATATAAGACTTCCATTAGCATTAACAAGCAGATACTGAGTGTAGTCTGTGAGGATCAATATTTATTGATCACAGTTAAGATGTGATCAACCTCAAGAGTTAATAAATCTTGATATTAGCAAAGTATGAAACAAAATTATTTTTCAGAGTAGCTCTTCTGTGTACATTAACCACAAGCTCTTCTGTGAACGTTAACCACAGCCATAGAAATATAGAGCTTAAGGAGATATTACAAAGTGACCTAGACTGCCTCTGCTCTGAAGCACAGTTAAACATACATAAACAGTTCTTGGCAGATGTTTGCCTGATCTGTTTTTTAAAAGCCTCAATGAAGGAGATTTCACAATTTCGCTACTGATGTAGTCAACATCAGTAATTATTTATTCTTCCTAGTATGCTTTTTCGTAGTATTCCGTTTAAATCATCTGTGCTAAAAATCAATCTGGTTGTCTGTTTTCAGTGTGTATGGAGGGCAGCAATCACTGGAATATGTATGTTTGGGAACCTGTTATTTTGATTAAATAGTAAATGAAATTCACCAACCTTTCCTGATGAACTCATGTTTTTTAGACCACTTATCTTTGTCTTTTGAAATGTCCTTGATATTTATACATCTTTTTTAAAACTTGCCTGCAAAATTGAATACAGTATGTTGGCTGAGGCCTTGCAAGTGCCAACAAATACAGTTATTACTTATATTTTAAATGGAACATGGCTGATACTGCATCCCGAAACAAGATTTGCCATTTCTGTGGCTCCTTCACGCTATCTGATTGTTATCTCGGATCATTTTCTCTATTTGTAGTCTAATAACTGTAGTCATACGTTTATTTTCTACTTCTGGGATGCGTTGCTTTTAACTGACATATTTGATTTTTAAACTTTTTCCTAGTTTATCGCAATCATTCGCAATTCTGATCTTGTCCTTGAACCCTCTTCAGCTTTGTCAGCCACAGATTGTTGTTGTTGTTGTTGCTGAAGCAATACTCTTCTCTCATCCAAGTCATTTGCTAATAATACAACAGACCCCTGTAGGATCTTGCTCAGACTGGTATCCCGGGTTGACAGGAAACTACTAGGAACGTATCTTGAGATAGAGTAGTTGTTCAGCCTTATGTTTATTTCATGTCAAAAGTATTTCTGTGATTTATGAGAATGGAGCTTTTCTGCTGTTGGAAGACTGGTGACTTTCCTTTTCCAAAGGTGTGAAGCAATTGTTTCCAACTATGGCAAATGACGCACTACCCTTTTTTTTAATTTGGGGGACGAAAAAACTTGTGACTTGGAGATGATTTTTAATTCATTTCAATCTGATATTATCTTAATGGTTTAAAAATTATATTCTAGTTGACTAGTTGAAAAATTGGCAAGTCTACATTCAGGTTTTATTTAAAAGTATATGCTCATTTTTCTCCTCCTAACTATAGTTTTTTTTTTTTCCCCCCCCCAAGGTGGCTTATCATACCACGCATGTAGAAGGGCCCTACTAGAGAAAGGGGAACAGAGTTAAAAAAGAATAACTGTGCTGTTCTAGATGATGGTGCTATTTCAGAAGTGAACAGAAAATAAAACAGTGGGAAAACATTAGACGCTTGACTTCTAAGGGTTTTTCGGTTGAAAGTTAACAATTCTGTGGATTCAGACAAACGTTCAGTGGCACGTGTTCATTTCTGCTTCCGTATCGGTCTACTTTGAACAAAGACAATTTTATTGGTTGGTATTTGTGAATCTAGTGTATAAACTTAGAGCAGAGGCATTCATGATAGTTAAAAATACTCATTTTTTTGGAGTGAGGAAATAGCTTGTACAAATCTCTGCTGTCTGATTGCCTCTTCCGAGGTGAATGATTGTCCTCATGCGTGCTTGCCTGACGTCAATTAGAATGCACTTACATGTTTTCAAAGATTTAAAACCTAGTGTTTTGCAGGACCGGCTTCATGGTGTAACTACTCGTCTGTCATGTCAGAATGAGCAGGCAATATGTTGAGGGAGGCTCTTTGCTTTTATATTCATTTTAAATTGCATTGCATTAGTTTCCATGTGTTCTTTAAATAGAAGATGCCCTTCCTTTTCAATACCAGTTATCGCTTCTACATCTGGTCTGTTTAAGAAGATACATACGTATTTTATGACTGCTGTAGACGTACAGTTTTAGTTATCCTTACCCTTTCTAAAGAAATCAATTCTTTTATAGGTTCTTGTTGCAACTACAATAATTATCCAGAATATTGGAGGTAAGCAGCTTCATTAACTCAATTTTAACTCTGAGCTGAGTACAGTCTCCGCAGTCTGCAAAACTCTGCAAACACCAAAGGCAATAAATAAAAGACAGTATTCTGAAGAGACTTGATTTAAAAGGACAGGAAACTTCAAGAAGAGGCTTATATGACTGTGCTTAGCTGAAGTGCTACGCTCAGGAGGTAGATGGGGGAGCTGAGCGAGGGTGGATTGTGTGCCGGGTGCTGCATCAGGTGGTATGGAGCACACCCATATTTTAGTTGGCACTGCGGATTGGAAGGGTCTGAGGAAGCATAATCTCCATTGCTCAGTTTCCTTTCTGCTTTTCCATACATATACATATCTAGTAGATGCTTTTTATCATGCCTTCTGTTCTGTTTTTTTCTCTTTGGAACTTGCACGTGCAATTTAGTGATGTGTAGCAACTGCATGTTTACTTAGCCATGACATTTTGACTGTACTATATAAGTGGTGGTTTCCCCTTTTTCTTTTCTTTTTGTTCTCTTCCTTATTGTTTTTGTGGAGTTTTTGTTTGGTTTGTTGACTTTCATCATGCGAACTCATGATCTATGTTGTCATGTGCTGGGCTGTGCAGTTGTATTGTTCTTATTTTTACTTTGGTGCACAACATAGTAAAAAATACTAGGTGTCTTTGCATTAAAATAATCACCTAATATTTATATTCCTATTCAGATATGTTCCCACACTTGACATGTACTGAGTAGCAGTGCCCCCAAGAAAGAGAGGAGTGTCAAAAAGAGGACAGCATTTAACAGAATGTGGAGAGAGGAAAAAAAGGTGAAGTGAAGATACGGATGTTCACTGACAGTGAACAGCATTCCAGTTCTGCTGTTCTCTCCTTTAGAATGGAGACCGTAAAGTCTAGGCAATTCGATGACTATTGCTGTTTATCACTGCATATGGACCTAGAACTAGCTCAGGTAACTGCTTTTCTGATGAAACCAGTATCCTGCCTTGTATTAAAAGCTCCAGTAATAAAGACTACTTAATTTAAACAGCTATAAAAACCTGAGTATTAATTTCAGGCAGGAGTGAACATATTAATTCCAAGGTTAAGGATTATTTATTCATACAGGTTTTAGAAAATGTTCTGTAGTAATGAACAAATTTTTTAATTTCCTTTCCCATTTGAGTGGACCTCTAAATAAACAGTGCTAGACAAGGAGGGGATATACAGTACAGGTTCTGGAGACTCTGGGATCCTGTACAAGATTCTGTGGTCAAAGGAAATATGACTCTCATTTCTTCCTCACAGCAGTTCATAACCTTCCCTGTGTGTCATTTTGAATAAAATTCAGTTCAGTAATTCTAGAGGCCCAAACTATTGCATGCTGGATGTTATCAAACGACTTATTGAGTCTTATGCAGTGGACTTATCTGCCAGCAACCTGGGCCTGATTTGCCAAGCAGTGGTTTTCCATTCAGATAGTTAATTCAAGAAGTCATTTTTGCAAGTTGAAACTTTTCTTTCAAATATTTTCAGGTGCCCCCATTTTGATGGGAGCTGTCAAATCTCTCAGTTCTGCTTCTTCTGATTCCAGTGGCAATATCTTTCATGTAAGAGAGCAGTAGCGTTTCATATACTTTGTACACTCACTTGTTTACAAAGATCACTCGGTTTCAAACACACTGAGAAGAGAAATACGATTTTTCTTCTCTGTACCAATTGGTGCTACTAAACCAAAACAAGCCCTAGTCTGTCAGGAGGGGTAATCTGTGAAAACATGCGTTGCAAGTGCAGCCTCCTTGGCACCTTCCTCTAGGCAGAAGATATTTTGTGCTATCATTGTCAAGGAACTGTCACAGCTTCTGTTTAGCATTTAGATTTCTGTTTGGGAACAGAGCTCACAGCTGTGTTATTTCTCTCCTTAACAACTGCCTTTTGCACTTTGGCAGAGTCCTGTGATGCTGCAATCCAAGTCAGCAGAGCAGCATTGTGTCAGGAGTCATCCGTGAAGATGACTTTACTCCAATCTAACAGGCTCTTAATATAGGAGGGATGAAGAGCCCTCTCTTCATCTCTCACCCAGCCTTGACTCTTGAAGAAACGTGTAGAACAAAGGAAATCTTCTTGTCTTTCTGGTTCCTCCTACGTATTTTAAATGGGAGAGGTGAAATTGTGGAGTGTAGTCTGTTCTGAATGGGAGCCATGCTGGAATTAAGTGTAAAACCGGTTCTGCCCTTTCTCTTTAGTGCACTTAGATGTTCCCCTCTTTTTGTTTTTATGTCCATTTGAAGGAACCGGTAGTGCTGTGCCTGTTGGGCAGGCTTCCAGACCTTGTCGACATCTTTAATTTCAGAGTACAGCTAAAAATAAAATTGTTTTCTGTTACCTCCTCCATCATCAGACCTGAGTATACTGCATCATATGGTGTTTTATTTCAAAAGTGATTGGAGAATATGGGATAATGAATGGTGGTTTGTGATTAAAATAAGCAACTTTACTAGAGCTATTGTCACTATCAGCATGTAGTCAAGGCTTTTTTAAAGTCCCTAAAAATAATTAAAGTACGGATGTGATTTGCATTCATTTGCAGTGGAGAGAACTTTTTATAAAAATTTTTAATATAGTTATGCTCTCATTTCTATCATATTTTTTTTTCTTTTTAAAAAACAAAGATGATAAAGTGCAAATTTGAGTTTGACATCCTAATTGCCCACACTGACTGATTCGTGTAGATTGAGTTGATTTTACTAAAACAAGGATACCCAAAGAAAAAAAAGTCAATTTCTGTACAGCAGCAGGAAAGGGCCAGTTGGTGAAATTTGGAATGAATCTTAAAATACCACTGTTTTTTTGTAGATGAGGCTTAAGAGAGTAATTTAAGAAAGTCGAGTCCCGGCTATGTTGGTTGGAAAATTAATCTACATCTCTAACATGGTTGCTCAGTTTTCATCCAGTTCTTTAATTTTCTGTTGGGACACTGTGTTATGGTTAATCAAGTAAGACCGATCAAGTACCGAAATGCACTTAAATATAATGAGTTAACTGAGTTTACATCAAGATAATGTATTTGGATTTTGCAAAATTAATACAAATTAAGGTCATCCAAAAAATACTGTGATTTAAAGACTCTACGCTAAGAATTTTTATAAAATTTGTAGTGATTACATATTGAAAATAAAGCCGTGAAAATATATATCTGGCTTTCCTTATCTCAGTATGTATTTATGCTTGCCATATAGATATTTGTTAAAGTGAAATCAAGAAGTTGAATGGGATGGTCAAAATTAATTGTTCTGTTAGTATTTAGGCCCAATCCAGCAGTCCTTTAAACAACTAGCAATTAATTATTTAGTAATTAGTTACGTGAACTGACTTTCCCTTGTAAGAGTGGGTTAATGAGACTGTGAGGTTGCAAATTGGACACTAAAAGGGAAGTTCCCAAACTGGACAGTACCAGACCACAGTTTTGTTCATCCTCTCCTCCCATCCCTTTCCTTTCACCCCAGGTTCATTAAAGAAATAATCTTCCAAGCATCTGTTTCTTGCCTGCCATGCAGAAGATGGTCTTGAAGGATTTCTGATCTTTTCACGTGCCTCCTGAAGTCGGGAGAGGGCCTTCGGTGAAGTTGTCTGTCTGGAGGCATAAAAGGAGCAGGGGAGGCTGCCATGAAAAACAGAGTGACATGGCTCTCCTTGCTCTTTTATGTAATCCTTCCCAGGAGCAACCAGAATTGGACAGAGTCCCTGCTATTGTTTTAATAGTGTTGTGCTTCTAGGAAGTGATGGATGAGGCACCGTGGGCCAAGCGGTGGCCCTTCCCCCTCCAGCGGTCAGGGAAGTTCGGCGAGGGTTGTGGATCCTTTCTGAAGGAGGGGGAAGAAGCTGAGAATTTCTCCTCCTGGAATTGTCCTGTCTGCTCATCTGACTGAAGATGAGGACGGTCTGCACCAGTGTGTCTGAGAGAGTCGGTAGGAATCTCCAAACACGTGTAATGAAGTTGGAGAAATAATTATTTCAGTAAGGCTTGTGGAAAATGGAGACAAACACAATAAAGTATTGCACAAGAGCAGCTCTCAATCTGTTGCCAACACTAACAAATCTTCAGCTTTGAGGTCTAGCAGGAAGTATGCGGAGAGTTTTACAGCATACTTCTCCGGGCTGGAGACTGGTATTAGCTGAAGGTCATTGCTGTAGGGAGATAGGACTGGCCACAGAGGGCCTGGTAGTTTTGATGCACAGAAACGTAAACTGAAACTGCTGAGAACGTGAATTTAATTATTTAAAATTTATTAGCAGTGGGATTAAGTGCAAAGGTAGAACGTGCAGTACAGCCGTATAGCATAGGTGGTCTCTACAAGGATTTCTTGCAATAGTCTTTCTCCTCTGCAGTTCTTTTCCAGTAGGCTGAGACACACGCAGAAATTCCCTCGCTGAAGATCCCTGCGAGCAGCTTGCCTCTTTTGGCTTGTTTCCAAATGACCCTTGCAGTTTCTCTGCAGCTTCAGTAGGCTTGCCAGATCAAAGTACTATCTTTGTTTTACAAAGAATTGTAAACTTTCTAATGCAAATGCCGTTTAATTATGCATAATTTCTGTAGCTGTTGCTCCCAGATTCTGTTTCACTGTTCTGCAGCTACCCTGCGCTCAGAAGTGCGGGGCGGGGGGGTCTTCTGTAGCCCTTGAGCGCTGTTTTATCCTCACGCTATCCATCCGGTGTGCCCGAGTGCTGCAGGGAGTGAAGAGATGCTCTGGAATGAGTTGTGAGAGGAGATTGTTCTCTTCAGCCGCGTTCGGTGGTGGTGCGTTTGTTTTGGTTTTGTTCCCTATTCTGATAGTTCACATCTGGCACGTTTTCCGAAGCAAACCGGGAAGGGTAACCATTGGAAATGCATCCTAAAAAAAAAAAAAATATATATATATATATAGGCATATATATGT